TGCAATAAAGCTCCACCGTTTGGACAGCCAGAACACAAACTGCCATTTCGCTTCTCATGGCTCTTCCCTGAACTCCCACACAGTTACTTCAGTCCCCTATCGCACCGCAACTGCTCATAATCCATAACCAAGATTGTATCTGTCACGACATCAGCAGCTCACTTCTGCTTGGTGGCAATGACGTCCATTCCCACTGCGTCCCTTCAGGGCAGGAAAATCACAGCCAGCTTTCTGACAGCCTCCTGCAAGATCCTCCACAAAGCACCCAGCGCTGCTTCTGCAGAGGGACAGAAAGGAAGCTTCATGGAAACAGGCACACGAGGCTCCCAAGAGATGCAGTGCTGCAGATCAGAGGCAGGGCCATCGCAGTGCAAAACACAGCTTACCACTAAAGGAAACATGTCAGAGCATATTCACAACTTCTGCATAAGCTGTAACGATTCAGCACGTTCAGTTTTCTCTGCTTTTCACAACAACAGCCATGGTTACTGCCGGCTCTGACACCTCACCAGGAGATGCCTCAGCCCATTAACGTGGACTTCATGGCTGCCATCAGCAGCTGCTCCTGCACCAAGCGGCCCGGGGCCGACGGCCCCCCCCAGCCCGCAGCGGCCCATCGCACACAGAGCGGCAGCAACACCGGTGCAATGGCAGGATATGACAGAGGCAGGAAAAGCACTGCTCACCATCGCCAAGGATTCACCCACAGAACCAACTCCGCAGCAGAGAACCTTCCAGAAAGAAACCCTTCCCTGCTCCCAGCCAGCCCTGAACTGAGCTCCAGGAGGGGCAGCCAGGCTGCGCCCCTTCCGGCCACGGAGCTCCATTGCCTTCAGCGGCGCTCCAGGGCTGAGCAGCTCCTTTCCTCAGCTGCTCCATCAGTGCTTCAGGCTGGGATTCAACGCTTCTTAGACAGCAGAGCAAAGGAAAAAATCGCAAAGCAAAGCAAAGACAAAATAAAACCAACAGAGAAAGCTTGCAGGATCCTAGGAAATAACAGCAAAGCACAGGAAGAAGGCAGAAGGCAGGGGGATGTCTGCGTGTCTGAAGGAAAAGCTGCAGATGTTCAGTGCTGCTCCATGCACCCATCGCAGACAGCTGCACACAACAGGGCTCCAGCAGCACTGGCAGCTCCTGTCAGCTGCACTATTAAAGCCATCTGACAAACTTCCAATTCTGTACTGCGAGTGCTTTAAAGAGAGAAGCACTGAAGCTGGCAAACGCACGACGGCTCCGGATAACAAACACCGAGTCAAATGGCACTTCAGGCCATCAGCATCCCTACGTCACTGCACCTCTTCTAGCTGATCCAGAGAGGCTTCCAGCTCCTTTACAGCTTCTTCTCATTCCCTGAGCTGGAAAAATCAAGGGAAAAATGTTGAAATGGCTCCAAAACCCGTTCAATTTTTACTGAATCCCGATTTTGCCCTGCAGGTGGGGTTTTGTTTTCATCTCTGGTGTTGCACAACAGGTGACTGAAGTGACTGATACAGCCTTCAAGTTGAATCATTCCATCAAACACGCTGGTTTTCTTTGAAATCTCTCCCTGAAATCCATTCATTCGTACCTACACTGTAGGAGGGATTTGACCAGCCCAAGCCGACTCGAGGTTTGGATTCAGCTGTCACTCCTTTCTCCCCCTGAGAAACACAAGATCTGCGCCTCGCTGCCATGTCAGAACAGACCTGGGGCACAGGGAAAGGAGCCAGAGAGTGTTTCCTCTGCTGCACGTTTGATTCCTCGCCATTGCAGACAGTCATGTCTTCGAGGCTTGAGAACAGTTCTCTGAATTCAGTGGCACAAACTTCTGCAAAGACTTCATTCTTACTTTCACGGCTTGGATTTTCACTTCTGTCTGAGTGCCTTCTGGACTCTCATCTTCAGCTCTGCTGCCACTGCCCCAGGCGGATGGGGAAGGAACCTGCAGGGGGTGTCCTGCAGTTTTCTCCCCAGCAGTGGGTTGATTTTCCAAGTCGTCACACGTTCACTTTCCAGTTCAGTCTCACCTACGATGCCTACTGCAAAGAACAAAAATTAGTGGAAAACAGATGATGATGTGGCTTAATATGGAGACGGTTTCCAGCACGTACATTATAATGTAACCTAACGTATAATCAATGAATGCACAGATGTGATAATTGAGAAATATCCAGGAGAGTTAGGCTAAGCCAGATTATTGCAACGAAAGGATAATAAATGGAGAATGTCCTGTCCTCTGGCTGCCGCCTCTTGCCTTCTGCAGGCCTTCTTTGACACCTAGGAAGCTTTAGTGAGGCTGCATCAGTGTGAAGCACCGGTAAGCTGTGGAGCTGTGAAGGGGAGCCGTGGCTCCAGGAGCTCAGGAGGGGCTGTGCGCGCTCTTCAATGTGCGTGCAGTCTGCTTGTGCTATGGCAGAAGGGCTCTGACAGCTGGGGCCGTGTTGGTGTGGTCAGGAAAAGTGGGCATGAACACTTCTCCCTTCGGAAAGATTGAAAGACAGAGCCTCTCGTTGCTGCTTACTGGATGTTTTTCATCTTTAGAAACCCAGGTGTTTGAATCATGCTGTTTTTCATGGGAGATGTGCCAGAATGTCTCTGGTGGACTATTTGCTGTGCCTTTCTACCACCAGAAATGCTGCTGATATAGCAGTTCAGAAAGCCTGTGCTGTGCATTTGTTTCCTGGACTCCCGTGAGAAGGATGGCTGTGGAGATGTTGGTCTTGGGGCAGGAGCTGTTAGAAGCTTTTGAGAGTGGCCTCCGTGTGTTGTGAGTGATTGTGGTACCACTGCTCGGTCAGTTGGAGTGCATGAAACAAGTCTGAAGTCTTCTTGTAATGGAGCAATGGGAAAGGAGTCCATGGATTTGAGAGCTGACTTTCAGTCTGCGGGCATTTTCCAGGAGCTGGGGCGAGGGGTGAGGCAAGGAAAGCTGTGGTAGGAGGATGAGGGGTGGGAATAGGAACGTCTTCCATTGAGAGCAACTCCTGCTGTTCCCTTTTTGACTTGGAATGCATGCTTTCTTAAATCAAGAACAAACTCCTTGTGCAGCTTGGGAATGAACTCATCCACCCCTGTTACTGTTTGGCGTTCTTCTCTACACGGAGCTGCAATGGAAATGGACACTGCTGGTCTGGTTGCCAGCCCCCTCCCGCATGCTCAGATCAGCCAAGTTTGCAAGGCCCGGCTCTTGGTGAGTTGTGCCCAAGGTCAGAGGTGGCTCTTCTCAGCCTGGAGATGTGTTTCCCAGTTGCGTGCTGTGCTACTCCTGTTGTGTTGAGCTCTTGAGCTGCAGCCCTAACTGGGGATCCAAGTAGACTGACACAGAAGGAATGGTTGAGATCTATGTGAGCTTGGATTGGAAATGCAGTGCCAAGGGCTGCACAAATGTGAGACAGTTGTGAGCGTAAGGAAAGGCATCTGCTGGGTGAGGGCTTTGCTGGGTGAGCGTCACCCTGCTGAAGAGCAGGCAGCTGTTGTCTTTGCAGACAGCCACATCCATGGGGACTGGAAGCTTTTTCTGCCTTCTGGCTCTTGGCTGCTGCTCTGAGAGTGGAGCTTCTTGCCCGGAGAGAACTGGCAGCAGAAAGGATCCCATGCGTGGCCTCTGAGCCCTTTCAGACCAACCAGCTGGATTAGCGTGGCTGGGACCTTGGTTTGGAGTTCACCCAGCAGGCTTTGCCCAAAGCAGGATGAGCTGTGGGCACAGCGTCCAGCAGTGCAAGTGGCCGACAGCTGGAGCAGCTGTTCTAAAGCTTAGAGGCACCCTTAATTTCTGCAGCCCTGAGCTTTGTGCCACGAGAGCTCTCCAGCTTCTACCCGTGATGTGAGACTGTATTGTGTCTACTCTGTCAGGCTCCCCAGCTGAGCACCTGGCTCTCTGCCGTGACTTCAGCGCGGTTTGCTGAAGCACCTGCTGGGCATGGCACACCAAGCAACCCACGGAGCAGGGAGGCACAAGTTGCACCCTATGAAGTCTGCGCTCTGCTTCCTTTTGAAGGTCTGACATGAAGGTGGGGGCCCGGCAGCAATTTCCCAGGGGAGGAATGCCTTTTCGTCATCCTCACTGAAACGTGGGCTGCAATCTGAACAAGAACCCATTTTCCCTGGATACAGCCATTCAGAAGGGCACCGTTGGACCTGGGAGCAACACGCAATGAGAACAGTCCCAGGAAAGAACAGGCAGAAAGCCTAACTAGAAAGACAGTGCACCAAACCCAGCTGCCTGCTGTGTGTCTGTACCTCTCTTGGGTGCTGTGCCACACTCCTGGCTTTCCACATGGCTGCGCTTCAGGGGAAGGCCGCTGGCATCAGCTTCTGACAGAAAGGAGACAAGAAAGACGTGAAGAGCATCTCTTTGCAGGAAGATTTCAGCACTGCCAACCACAAACTTCTGGTCTTCAGCAGCAGTGTTGTCAATTTGCTTTTCTGCTGCTGCAGCCCTGTGCCACTTCTGCAGTCAGCACAGAACTGCAGTCCCTTCCTCTCCCCTCCACCACACGCAGCCCTTCATGCAGCCCTGTTTAGAGGCAGTGCCCACACCGCAGCTCACAGGAGCTCCTTACCTGCGGAGGCTTTCCGTTTCCCCCCTTGCCCCGCACCGTTCCACAGATGCACAGGTTTTGTCCCTACAACAACAGATCGTGTGTTGATTTCACAGACACCAGCAGGCAGCACAAGTATTGTCCAGTCAGCCCATGTCCCCCCAGCAAACAGAAAGATGCTGCTTTGACAGCCCAAACACAACTGATGGTTCACTTCTCACTGCCCCTTCCTGCACTCCACATGGATGCTTACTTAACATCGCCTGCAGCACTGCGATCTTCAGCTGCCTGGATTCCTGAGTTCTCCTTTTGGAGAGGAACCTACAGAAAGCATCAACAAGGGAAAAACCATGAGGAAGAAGCATTTTCCCAGCTTTCTTCTGCCATGCAATGTCGTCTCTTGAGGAAGGCAATGCTTGGAAATCAGCTGGCTGCAAGAACTGCCTGCCCATCACTGGCTGCAGCTGGGGTCTGACTGCCATGGCTTCTGTCAGCAGGTGCCCCCAGGTCCCCTTTTCCCCCACAGGTGCCAGCGGCAGCCAAGCGGGCACTGCCAGCGAGCTGCGCAAACACCTGCAGGACTGCATCCAGGCCGTGCACCCGCTGGGGCAGAGGGTGACTGCGGTGGGCCCGGTGCGCCAGCCACCCTCTGTGCAGCCCCAGCCCTCAGCCACCGCTGGCCCTGCTGCCCTCCAGCCCCAAGGCAGCCACGCGGTCAAGGCAGAACCGACAGCTCCAGGCAGCACGGTGCAGGAGGAGGGCGCTGCCAAGGAGGCGCCGCCGAGCTGCCCGCGCCCGTCCCCGCAGAGGAGCTCGGAGCTGCGGAGGGACCCACCGCCACCACCACCACCACCAGCGCTGCCCCAGCAGCAGCCTCGGCCCCGGCGCCCCGTGGACTCTGTGCCCTGCGTGGGGCCGCAGGCGGGTGGCGGTGTGATACCCGTAGTGATGGAGGAGTCGCTGCCCATCACAGCCGAGCAGCGGCCCGAGAGGGAGCGCATGAAGAAGCTGGCCCAGGAAGAGCGGCAGCGGGCGGCCCAGCAGATGAAGATCGGCCCCGTGCAGTTCCTGGTGCAGCGGGAGATAGACATGGCCATCGCCGACCAGTACGGCTACCCGTAACCCTGCGCTCCTCGCCGGCCCGCAGCACCAGGCAGCAGCGGCAGCGTTCCAGGGGCTCCGCCAGCGGCCCCATCTCTCCCCTCCACAACCGAGCCGTCCTCCAGAGTCAGCACAGCAGTGGGATGGGACGTTGTCTGGCTGCTCAGCTGTGGTGGGACTGCAATTTTAGGATTACTGTTGTCGCTGTACTCTAGGATAGGTTATTAAAAGCTTTGCATTCCATTTGCTACGTCCCTCTGCCTGCAGTCATTTGTGCTGTGTCTCAGCCCCCCAGCTCCCCACGCCCGCCTCCAGGGCAGCATGGGGCACCACGGATGGCCCACGGCATTCCTCAGCTGCCACCAGCAGCCCCAGCCCTCCTCTCTCCCTGCAGCGCTTTGTGCAGCAGGATGCAGAGGGCGTTTCACGGAGCTCTGCCGCGCTGCACAGTGCCGTGAATTGCCGTGGGGATGGGCAGCAGGCGGGGCGGATGGAGGGGAATCGCCCTGGCTCACGACGGCCAGAAGAGACTCCAGCAGGGGCAGCTCCTGCGGAGGGGTGAAGCAGGGGCAGCAGGGCCCGCTGTGCAGATAGGCGTAAAGATCCCTCCCATGCCATGGCGCTTCTTGAGCAGGGCACTGAGGGCACCCTCGGCACGTTCACAGATGGCACCGAGTTCAGAGGGAGCGCTGATCTGCCAACCTGAGCAGTTCCGTGATTCTGTGGCTCTACGATGCCACATCCGTTCCAAGTCCGTGCCGTACCAGAGCCCATCCCATATCGATCCCATTTCCCGATATCCCATCCCGCATCCATCCCATATCCATATCCCTGCACCCCACATCCCAGCCCCACATCCAACGCCCAGCCCCACATCCAACGCCCCAGCCCCACATCCAAACCTCATTCCCAATCCCTCACCCCAAGCCCATCTCACCCCCGTCAATCCCAATCCCTCCTCCCCAATCCCGATCCCACATCCCATCCCCCTTAGCAATAGGGAACTCCGAGCCCCTTCCCAGCCACAGCTCAGCCCTGCCTCCGGACTCTCATCGCTCAGGGCCACTTCTGGCCCGTTCGTGCCTTTCATTGGTCAGCGGCAGCTCCGTCCCGCCTCTGGACTCTCATTGGTCAGGGGCAGTTCCAGCCCATTCGTTCCTCTGATTGGTCTGTAGCAGTGCCGCCGGCTCCCATTGGCTGACGCATAGCGCGCGAAACGGCCGTTGGCAGCCGGCTCTCCCCTCGGCCGGTGCCGGTCCCACAGCCGCTGCGCGCCGGAGCTCCGGGCAGCACCGAGACGGAGCGGCGGCACGGCGGGAGCGGTGCGAGCACAGCGGTTCCGGAGCCGGGAGGGACGGACGGAGAGCGGCGCCGGGACAGGGATTAGCAGGTGAAAAAGCCGTAATTGAGGGGAAAAACCCCAGATTCAAGGGGAAAAACAGGGATTTGTAGCAGAAAAATCCATATTGAAGGGGAAAAACCCCAGGTTTAAGGGGAAAGACTGAGATTTCTAGCAGGAAAAAGACATATTCAAGGGAAAAAGCAGGGATTTCTAGGAGAAAAAGCCATATTTCAGAGCAGAAACCCCAGATTGAAAGTGAATAACAGGGGTTTCTGCAGGAAAAAGCCATATTTAAGGAGAAAAACCCCAGATTAGATAGGAGAAAAGGGGATTTCTTGTAGCAAAAGCCATATTTAAGGGGAAAAACCGTAGATTTAACGGGAAAAACAGGGATTTCTGGCAGAAAAAGCCAAATTTAAGGGGAAAAACCCCATATTTAAAGTGAAAAACCCCATTTTTAAGAGGTAAAACCCCAGATTAAATGGCAAAACAAGGATTTCTGTGATAAAACACAAGATTCCAAGCGAAGAAACAGGGATTTCCAGGAGAAAAAGCCATATTTAATGGGAAAAACCCCGATTTAAGGGCTAAAACAGGGATTGATGGTAGAAAAGCCTGGATTTAAGGGATAAAACAGGAACATCTGGAAGAAAACCCCAGATTGAAGGGCAAAAACAGGGACTTCTAGCGGAAAATGCCATAATTAATGGGAAAAACCCCAAATGTAATGGGAAAAACAGGGATTCCTGAGACAAAAAGGCATATTTCAGAGGTAAAGCCCTGATGTAAGGGACAAAACAGAGATTTCTGGGAGGAAAAGAAGTCTTTAATGGGAAATAGCCCAGATTTAATGGAAAAACAGGGATTGATGGTAGAAAACCCCAGATTGAAGGGGAAAAACAAGGATTTCTAGGAGAAAAAGCCATATTTAAGGTGAAAAACCCCAGATTTAAGGGGCAAAACAGGGATATCAGGGAGAAAACCCCAGATTGAGGGGCAAAACAGGGATTTCTAGGAGAAAAAGCCATAATTAATGGGAAAAGCAGGGATTTCTAGGAGAAAAAGCCATATTTCAAAGGAAAAACCCCAGATTTAAGGGGAAAAAGAGGGATTTCTAGCAGAAAAAGCCAGATTGAAGAGCAAAAATCCAGATTGTAGGGAAAAAACATGCATTTGTACCAGAAAAAGCCATATTTAACGGGAGAAACCCCAGATTTGAGGGTAAAACCAGGGATTTCTGGCAGAAAAAGACAAATTCAAGGGGAAAAACCCCATATTTAAAGTGAAAAACCCCATATTTAAAGTGAAAAACCCCATTTTTAAGAGGTAAAACCCCAGATTAAATGGCAAAACAAGGATTTCTGTGATGAAACACAAGATTCCAAGCGAAGAAACAGGGATTTCCAGGAGAAAAAGCCATATTTCATGGGAAAAACCCCGATTTAAGGGCTAAAACAGGGATTGATGGTAGAAAAGCCTGGATTTAAGGGATAAAACAGGAATATCTGGAAGAAAACCCCAGATTGAAGGGCAAAAACAGGGATTTCTAGTGGAAAATGCCATATTTAATGGGAAAAACCCCAAATGTAATGGGAAAAACAGGGAGTTCTGAGAGAAAAAGGCATATTTCAGAGGAAAAGCCCAGGTGTAAGGGACAAAACAGAGATTTCTAGGAGGAAAAGAAGTCTTTAATGGGAAATAGCCCAGATTTAATGGAAAAACAGGGATTGATGGTAGAAAACCCCAGATTGAAGGGGAAAAACAGGGATTTCTTCCAGGAAAAGCCATAATTAATGGGAAAAGCAGGGATTTCTAAGAGAAAAAGCCATATTTCATAGGAAAAGCCCCAGATTTAAGGGGAAAAACAGGCATCTCTAGGAGAAAACCCCAGAATGGAGGGGAAAAACAGGATTCTGGCAGAAAAAGCCACATTTAAGGGGAAAAAGCCAAGATTTGAGGGGAAAAACAGGCATTTATGGTAGAAAACCCCAGATTTAAGGGGAAAAAGAGGGATTTCTAACAGAAAAAGGCATATTGAAGAGCAAAAATGCACATTGTAGGAAAAAACATGCATTTGTAGCAAAAAAAGCCATATTTAACAGGAGAAAAACAGGGATTTCTGACAGAAAAAGCCATATTTAAGGGGAAAAAGCCCCAATTTAAGGGGAGAAACAGGGATTTCTGGTAGAAAAAGCCATATTTAATGGGTTAGGGTTAGGGTTAGGGTAAGGGTTAGGGTTAGGGTTAGGGTTAGGGTTAGGGTTAGGGTTAGGGTTAGGGTTAGGGTTAGGGTTAGGGTTAGGGTTAGGGTAAGGGTTAGGGTTAGGGTTAGGGTTAGGGTTAGGGTAAGGGTTAGGGTTAGGGTTAGGGTTAGGGTTAGGGTTAGGGTTAGGGTTAGGGTTAGGGTTAGGGTTAGGGTTAGGGTTAGGGTTAGGGTTAGGTTTAGGGTTAGGGTTAGGGTTAGGGTTAGGGTAAGAGTAAGGGTTAGGGTTAGGGTTAGGGTTAGGGTTAGGGTTAGGGTTAGGGTTAGGGTTAGGGTTAGGGTTAGGGTTAGGGTTAGGGTTAGGGTTAGGGTTAGGGTTAGGGTTAGGGTTAGGGTTAGGGTTAGGGTTAGGGTTAGGGTTAGGGTTAGGGTTAGGGTTAGGGTTAGGGTTAGGGTTAGGGTTAGGGTTAGGGTTAGGGTTAGGGTAAGGGTTAGGGTTAGGGTTAGGGTTAGGGTTAGGGTTAGGGTTAGGGTTAGGGTTAGGGTTAGGGTTAGGGTAAGGGTTAGGGTTAGGGTTAGGGTTAGGGTTAGGGTTAGGGTTAGGGTTAGGGTTAGGGTTAGGGTAAGGGTTAGGGTTAGGGTTAGGGTTAGGGTTAGGGTTAGGGTTAGGGTTAGGGTTAGGGTTTGGTTTAGGGTTAGGGTTAGGGTTAGGGTTAGGGTAAGGGTTAGGGTTAGGGTTAGGGTTAGGGTTAGGGTTAGGGTTAGGGTTAGGGTTAGGGTTAGGGACAGGTTAGGGTTAGGGTTAGGGATAGGTTTTAGGGTTAGGGTTAGGGTTAGGGTTAGGGTTAGGGTTAGGGTTAGGGTTAGGGTTAGGGTTAGGGTTAGGGTTAGGGTAAGGGTTAGGGTTAGGGTTAGGGTTAGGGTTAGGGTTAGGGTTAGGGTTAGGGTTAGGGTAAGGGTTAGGGTTAGGGTTAGGGTTAGGGTTAGGGTTAGGGTTAGGGTTAGGGTTAGGGTTAGGGTTAGGGTTAGGGTTAGGGTTAGGGTAAGGGTTAGGGTTAGGGTTAGGGTTAGGGTTAGGGTTAGGGTTAGGGTTAGGGTTAGGGTTAGGGTTAGGGTTAGGGTTAGGGTAAGGGTTAGGGTTAGGGTTAGGGTAAGGGTTAGGGTTAGGGTTAGGGTAAGGGTTAGGGTTAGGGTTAGGGTTAGGGTTAGGTTTAGGGTTAGGGTTAGGGTTAGGGTTTAGGGTTAGGGTTAGGGTTAGGGTTAGGGTTAGGGTTAGGGTTAGGGTTAGGGTTAGGGTTAGGGTTAGGGTTAGGGTTAGGGTTAGGGTTAGGGTTAGGGTTAGGGTTAGGGTTAGGGTTAGGGTTAGGGTTAGGGTTAGGGTTAGGGTTAGGGTTAGGGTTAGGGTTAGGGTTAGGGTTAGGGTTAGGGTTAGGGTTAGGGTTAGGGTTAGGGTAAGGGTTAGGGTTAGGGTTAGGGTTAGGGTTAGGGTTAGGGTTAGGCTAAGGGTTAGGGTTAGGGTTAGGGTTAGGGTTAGGGTTAGGGTTAGGGTTAGGGTTAGGGTTAGGGTAAGGGTTAGGGTTAGGGTTAGGGTTAGGGTTAGGGTTAGGGTAAGGGTTAGGGTTAGGGTTAGGGTTAGGGTAAGGGTAGG